TAGTGGCGTCCTTGCTCCTAGTAGCGATGCCAGGAGCCCCTAGTAGCTTCTTGTTACTAGTAACGGACTTGTCGGCGAAGGAGTGAAGGAGTTTGAGAATCGTCAAGAATGCATTCGATTGCGGCATATTTACAGCATGTCATTCAACTTCAAAAGCACCGAAAGAGCATCACAACTTGCTGGTGCTTTCCATTATAGCTCTAGAAGTTTTCATTATCTTTTTCTGAATCTTGGCATCCAGGTCAGTGAACACTTTTACACTCCGCAAATTAACACCCTGTTGCTACTACAATTTCTACAATCAACCAACCTATGCTTGAAGCAGGCATGCAGCACGCATGTTTTGGTAATTCTTTAAACCACTTGTCTACTTATTGTGCTGTTGAGGACTGCTGCACGCTCTACAGCTTGGAGACGACATGTCATTTGTTCAAGTAATTCTTGCAATCGCAAGAATGATCCTAACCAGCCTATATACAGTATGTAAATGTGTGCACATTCTAATATATATGTTTATGTATTGATGGTTGAAGGAGTCCACAGTTCACAGTTGAGAACGTTTGAAAAGTCGGCCAAATAAATTTGATCATTCAAAAGGAATGATGCGTACAAGGCTAGATGTTTCCACACAGGTTTCTGGCAAATGCAACCACGCTGCAGATTCTTTGATATCTTGCGCCAAACGCATGCCGGTGTTGGCTTGTCCCAGATTCCTTGCGCGGTGCTCATCAAGGGGGGTCGGTTGGTGGCCCTTGAAGCACTTGATTGGTCTTTGGCGATGCAAGGCTGTTAGCAAGGTCATGCTGCGTGCCATATTCGTGGGTGGAAGCCATATGTCGTGGCAGCATGCGGTAGTATATATACAGTACATATATATATATATATATATATATTGGATTTGCCAACTGCATCCAGGAACGTTGTGCGTGCCCTTGTTCTGAATGATTTCATGGACGTTCAAACAAATGGTTCTCTTGTTGTTGCAAAAACACAGTATGTTAAATAGACTCAACAGAATCCCTTGCAGGCCCTACAGCACACCAGGCTGATCAATCTGCATAACTTGCCAATCAATCCCCACACATTTCTCCTAGCAGAGTCTGATTTTCTACCTCGCAGAAGTTGGGGTAGTTCATCCTGCTCTTTTGCATTGGCCCAACCCAGTGCCAGTTCAAGAAAAAAACATGACGATGACAAACATATGAGAGACAACACTGAACATAAAAACAAACACAAGCTGCAAAGACCCATCACAAACAGCGGAAGGTGTTGAAGATACACACCGAAATGGCTTCAATGGTAAACTTTTAATGGTCTGAGGACGCATACATAGATGTTTTGGCAAATGCGACAGGATTCGATTAAGACGTGCTGGCTATCCCTTCATCAACTCCTCCAAATACAATGCTTCCCTCGCTGATCAGGGTGGCAAAGCCATCATGCTTTGAGTAGCGTCTCCGCGTGGGCTCTGCCATGATTTTCACTTCACTTCTGACAGGCTTGACCCACAGCTTCATGGCTATCAGCGATGCCATGAGCTATGGCTGCAATTACTCTTCTTGGATCTCCCTCCCTGCAATTTATTGCCCGATTCAGGCTCTCTCCTCTGTAACCTTGGCATACGTCCATACTCTTACTCTCCTCTGATCGACATTCTTTGGGGCCACCACCTCCCCTTCCTCCATCTCCTGAAGAGGGTGGCCCTTCTTTTCAGACTCGCTTACGAAGTTTTTGAGGAGGGCAGGGGCTTGGATTCGGAATTACATTGACGAAGCAAAGCAGGGGGGCTGAGGTTAGGAATCTCGACAGAATTTTCAAGGGCGCCAACCATCTATGAGGAGCAAACGAGATGGCTGGAATGAGAGGATGTTGATCAGGCCATTTGGTAAAGAGCGAACTACTTTGCGGCAAAGGAGCAGGCACGTTTCTTAAAGGAGCACTTAGGAAGATGAGGAAGGGCTCATGGTCAAGATGATGAGTTCAAGAGGAGGAATGGGGCAAGCAGGGTGGCTGCGGCCCTAGCGATTTTTGCGGAGGATCCGATTTTTGGGAACAAGAAGAGTCGTGCATGACGCCACCCATGCAGTGATTGATGGTGAATCAAGTAATCAGGTACGCGAACCGCCGCTTTCTGTATGATAGCAGGGAGCATGGATTCTTGGGCTGCAAAGCCCGAAGTTCTGGCAAGGAAGTCTACATCAACAAGGCTTGAAGCCGCCGATGGTTCCAACATGTTCCAACCTAAGAGCGATGGCCTCCCCCTAATAGCAATGGCCTCCGACCTGCTAGCGAAAGTCCTCAAATATTGTGGTATGGTGGTCTGGCATCAGCACGACACTGCAGCTAGGCAGTGGACCATAGGCTCTGCTTAACGCATTGGCGGCAGAGAAGAGAGGCTGACTGGGTGGAGGTGTTGGCCCTGAGTGTTGGCCCTCTCTACTTTGGCAAGCTTTAGATCGCTCTTTTAGTCGTCGGAGCAAAGGAGGCTTGATCGCAGAGTGAGTTGGTATCACAATCAGTTTAATCAATTATTCTGGGAATACTACCATGGGTTGGGTGGTGAAGTGGGTAGTTTCGCAACAAGAGAGGAAAGAGGTCACCTACAGCTTTCAACCTCCTCCAACTCCTTCGCTCCCTCCAACAGAAGCAGCAGCTATATTATATCAAAATGTGCCTGCCAACCGACAACTTGTGGTCGAGCCCTTCTTTTGATTACATCATTGTTTTTTTTGTTTTGCAACATCGATTCGTTCCATGCACAAATGCTTCATCTCTATCTGCAAGTCTCCTGCTGGGCATTGAGAGCGTCACCCCCTGAGTGGACATGGCGACAAGACCAACAAGCGTCTGAGGAGTTGGGGTTCCAATTTCAACGAAGGGGCAAACGATCTAGATATGAGCCATGGTCAAAACTCCAAACTTCTTATGTGGGCATGGCCCTACCCTTGCCAAGGCACCTGTCCAGGTTTAGACTGGATGACCACCCCTTGAACCCACCCAAGTGATTTTGCAAAGGCAAATTTATTCTGCCTGCATTATCAAAGGAGTTTTGAAAAAATATTTCCGGGTTCCGAAAAACTGCAGTTGGCATGTGCATGACCGCGGGCGCATAAGGAACACAGCAGTTGAGCAATCTAATTGGAGACTGCCGATCGCATTGTGAGCCTGTGGAAGGCTGGCAAAGGGTTAGAGATCGTAAGAGTATGTCGCGCAGTTCTAATTGTGGGAACATGGCTGCGCAATGATGTAGTGCAGCCAAAAGAAGAGATTTACCGTAAAAAAGTGCACAAAGTTGTTTCTCACGGGCAGAATGGGCGCAGAAGTGGCCACTTTGTGCTACACATCAACTATGTGGAGTGGTGTACCGGCTGTCTGGGCTAAGGCATGATTGTTGTTGTTGCTGTTGTTGTTGTTGGTGTTAGTCGTGCACCTATAGTACGTGGAGAACTTCTTGGAACTCCGTGGGGAGTGATGTGTTTCTAGGGGTGATGAAGTGGTAGGTTGCTGGCTGTTACACTGCAGTCATTCAACCACGGTGACATGCAACAACATGATGTGCAACATCATGATGGTGATGATGATGCTGCTGCTGATGATGATGATGGTGTTGTGTATGAACCCTTGCACCAAAATCTCTGATTACAACAAAACAACGCGGACAGCATCACACTTCATCATGGGCCAATTCCTCGTGCAACTCTTCACCAGAAAAGGACACAAACCTCTAGATTACGCATATACTTTGAAATTTCCGCCCGGAGAAATTAAATATACACTCTCCAATTGATCTGACAAAAACCTATGCGTAAACTATATCTTATATCCATCTAAGGTGAATCATTCAGTCTGCAAAAGTGTCTCTTACAACCGCTGCAAGCTTTGAGTTCTGGTTTGCTTTGAACGTGAGGCGAAACATACAGGCTTAAGCGGCTTAAACATGCAAACATGCGTGAATCATTTCGCCTTTGGGTGCAGTATGATGCTTGGCAAACCGATCCCATGCAAAGCTACGACCGTGCCTGCGATTTCAGGGCGTCCAGCACCATAATGTCCAAGGCATTGCCAGCAAAGGTTTGCCTTGGCCATTCGAGGAACCCACCTTTTCGATTTCGATCGGGACCCAACTTTGTGACAGAAAAACAATTTATATACATTGGTTATACATGGTTATACTATATATATGCCAAAAAAAATAGTACGAGTAGCGCGAGGACCAGGACATTCCGAGTTGCTCCCTCAGACATTCTGGCTCCACACAGCCATTCAAGAGCGGCGCAATTGAAGTCAGCCCTGGCAAAATGGCGAGTAGTATGAGTGGCTGAGTGGCAAGCAAATCGATGACAATCTAACACAATCTAACAAGGGATGCCCACTTTGCGCACGATGTTTGCTCGAAACAACTGACCAAATCCTGGCTTCTACTGCCAGGCGGCGCAAATATTGCCTCAAGCGGTACCCCTTTTTCGTCTTTTTCATCCTTTTTCCACAGACTCAAATCCATGCAAGCAGCTACAGTAGCCAAGCATGCCGCAAAACACAGCTATTCACACAGGCGCACCATGTCTGAGTCTCTTGTGCTAGGGGTCTTTTATATATAGCATCTGCACGCTGCTAATTATTGAATTTCCAACTGATTGAGGCAACATGCCCTGGTCTTGCCAACGAAATGCCCGCAACTACTTTCCTGAGGTGGGTACAAGTGTTGGAAAAAGTGTAAAGTGTCAATTAGTGCAAAGCCACACTCTCTCAGCGGCAACCCGAGTTTGCTGTAAATCCGACTTTGGGTTTGATCAGCTTTGGGAGCTGGCTGGCCACAATGTGTGTCTGCCACACCCCGTCTCCAGGCGACTCACTCTTATATAATTCACATTACTCCGTGTAACAGTTGTAGGCAGTAGCAGCAGGTCATTTGGGACCGCTACCAGCGAAAACACACATTTGATCTGGTGATATCAGAGTTGGCCACTCTGACGTACCTGCTTTCAAGGTCTGTGATTTTAAACCATGTGGTTGCAGACTCGTTCACCTTGTGGTTTGCACAGGGCCATTTCCAGATAGGTCGTCTAATGCAGTATTGTAAATTGCTGATGCACCCTTGGGACCACACTGAATTTGTGTTCCTGCGAGCTCCTCTCACGCGTGTGGAATCTATACCAGCCGTTCTTTTGAAGAAACACACGGGCACAAATGAAACATCTTTTAAAAACCCAACCGAGATCGATCTCCCGCTTCTTTGCAAGTGGCAACCACCTTGCCAGACCTACTCGTGTGGCCTGCGCCAACTGTGCAGGTAGGGTGTATGTGTGGGTAGGTCCATGGTAAACCCCCAAGGCAAAAAGGTCGTTGGTGGCCATGCGCACTAACCACTAACCAACATTACAATGGAGCATGGAGCTGTAGAGAAAACATACTGCCCCAAAGACGATGCAAACAACAAACGAAATGAACAACATGTTGCGCACACTGTAAAACATGCGAAGTACCTTAACCCCTTCCACCTATTAAAAAAACATGGCCCCCCCTATTAACAAAAGCTCGGGTGCCTTTTTTCAATAAAGGGTACCTGAAGTAGGGGTTGTCCAAAATAGGGTAAGTGGGAGGATCCTTGAAACATTGAATTACATATGAAATGCAAATTTCCTGGCAGGCGCAACGCTTTGTGAAGCTTGAAGTGCAGATTTCGTATAGAAACCTGTGAAGGGTCTCAAAACAAAAAGCTGACTCAGGACAATTTGTATATGAAATCCTTGAATAGACCAGACTAAAAACCTTCAGATCGAAGGGTCTTCCTCTTCCCCTTACAAAAACCTTTGTAAAGATAAATAGTGATTCTTTGTTCGACTAACTAAAGTTTTCAAAAGGTGACGTCGCTGCGCCATGCGGTTTTGCGCCACCTCGGTGGCAAGTGCGGCTGCGTGAGTTCGTACCATTGGGGAAAGGTAAAGCCTGCTGGTGCAAACGCGGCGTGTCATGGTGGATAGACAGGGTGGACAGAGGTGGGCAGTTAGAGTTGTTTTTGCCTAGGAACCTAGCTTTAAAAAAACTACACCAAAATCGACCATGTTGGTAGTTTAGTAGCGGTTTTAGAGGGTGGTGAATTCAAAACAAATATAAGCCGTATTTAGGGGTTTCTCGACATGGTGTTTTCTTGAATAAAGTGAATCGGGAAGTGTTTTTCCATAGAATATGCAATTTCAATGTGTCACTCTCATCTTCCATAAAGGGCTAACGCATTCTGCAGACTTGAGCGCTCGTCGTCACTTTGTCGGTCGCGCATGCCGGAGCTGGACTTTGAGATTTTGAACGCTTTTGGCCTCCTTCCCTTCCACAAGACCGCCAGGACATTTAGACCCCGTACATGCTCCCTCAGGAATATGGGTACCTAGGTTGTGGCAAACCGCAATCGAGTCAGTACGCAATATCTTGAGTGTGTGTGTGTGTCGATATGATTTACGGTTTACGGTTCCAAACGACTTGAACTCACCCCTACACGACAGTAGTAGGCCTTTTATTCGTTTACTTTCAGGGTAACGGCAAATCTGCTGTGCAAGTGCTGTGGTCCCGGGGTTCTTCTTGTTTAGGCGAGGCAGTGACGCAGGAGGTTCTCTTAGGCCAGTTATGACTTCAAGATGAAATACTAGATCTGAGAATGTTCTCACCAAGCAGCCACCGAAAACACTGGAGGCAGCTATATAGTGTGAGCTAAGAGTGTCACGGATAGTTTTCATCGAAACATCAAGGCCTCCCGTAGCATCTTTCAAGTTGCCCAATCCTGACTAAACCGACTATATATAAATATATACAGTACATATACTTATATTGTAGTGTACATATATATATAATATTGTATGTACTGCGCAGTGGTTTTTCGCGTCGTCTGCTCAAAGGGATTTGCAGGCATCCGGCGCGAAAACGCGAAAATCGCAAAAAACGGCAAGTTGCAAGATCCGCGCCAACCGGCAGCGCGAAAGTGCGAAAGCCTCGAAAAAGGCGAATACTGCGAAAACATGCTGCCCGTGGAGCGTTTCGGCGCATTTATACCCTGGAGCGTTGAACGCAATCCAAGTGGTGTTTAGAACATGTCTGGTATTTTTGTCGTTGGTCTTTTGATGTATTTTGGTTAGTACTTAGCGAAGTGCGACTGGCAGATCGACTCAAGCTTTCTATACAGCAAAACTACGTCCAGCAGCGCACCAGCAGCAGCCCACAGGAACAAACCCGCAGCACACTAGCAGTCACTAGCAGCTCTGCGGCCTGCATTGCGGAAGTAGAGCTTTAAGACCGCAGGGGCACAGTGGTAACCCGTTTTCCTATTTCAAACCAGGCTTGCAGCGGGCGATTAAGCAACCTAACGCGAAAAATAACGACAGTGGGAACCGCTATTTGAATGCACTTTTAAGACTCCTTGACAAAGTTCGATACTGGCGTTCCCATCACGGATCCAGAGGAACCCTGATCAGCTTTCCAGTCACTTTCACAAGACCTATGTCATTACATCTAAGACAGTGAAAAAGGCAATGCTTGTTCTAAGGCCCCCAGTGATATGGCTATGATCCAATAATTCTGGACACGGGTAGATTAGACTAAGTGGATTAGTCATCATTCTGGTGGTTCCCGAAGATAGACCTCACCTAAAGGGCGACTGCAGGTATAGCAGCAAATGCCTACAGGGCCTTGGAATAAAGTATTGCCACAGAAATCCACAGCTGCTTTCAATCAAGAAAACGAAGCTTCCTCTGTTTCTGCCGATTAGAAATTGCTCTGCTTACCACCAAAGCATAGCCCGCAATGTCTTCCAGAAGTATATTGTTTCTGGTGCTATTATAGCGTATATAGGTGGGCCCGCACAACTTGGTGGAATTCCGTGGTGACTGAATGTTTCAATCTTGACCATTGATGCCAAGCTCATTGTCGTATGGGTATGCGCGCAAGATTCAATGGAGTTGGTTTCATGAATGTGGTTGGATAGCCAGGCGCACTTTGAACTTTACTTCTTGGAGGATTCTGGTTTGAGTAGTTAGTCAGGCGGTTCACCTCTGCTGGTTTGAAATAATTGGGGTTGACTTAGGGCAAAGCTTGGAATCGAGTTGAGGTTTTGCACGCTGGATTTTTAGTGGCTTCGATTTTCACTTACAGATTGTTGACTGAGGTCTGTGCGTTGCCCTTTAAAGCCATTTGCATTGAGGTTATCACCCCGGTAGCTGTGTTCAGTGCACTTGGAGATCCACCTAGGTACTCTTTCCAAGTGCCAAATGTTGTATAAACTTCTGGTTTCATTCTTTGGGGTGCGCTTGCCGAGGTTGTTCGTCATGGTGCACAATGTTGTGTTTAGTGTTGAAAGCCTTTGGCTGGGGGTATATTATAATATATTATTTGAATGCCCGTTTGCTTGCAGTGTTGCATGAGGGCCTCGCGTGAGACAACTTGTTTGTGTGGGGTTGCATAACAAAAGCAGGGACCTCGTAGTCAGCTCCACATGCTTCAGTCGCTTCCAAGCTTCTTGCGACCAAACAGTGTGAGGGATAAAGATCCAAACTCAACGCAACACGGCCGTTTCCAACTCAGAGAACCGTGAACGCTTACAGGGCTTTTGCCTTTGCTACGATTGAAATGACCTTGGGTCGAAAAATTAGCCGATGTGGTGGTTGGTCAATTTGAGTCAATATTACTATAACGATGGAATGCCCTTTCTTCGTGGAAACAACAGATATGTTTCGCGGCCCAATCGCAAAGCACGATCCTAAAGCCACGTCTAGTTAACATGATGTCGGAACGATATTTTGTATCAAGAATGGTGGCTGACATCTTGCAGCATGACCTACACACAAGGTTTTGAGTTGCTATAGCTACTCCGGGTCACTCGCAGCATCTGTGTGAAAAATAACATTCTGGGTCACAACTCAAACCAACCCTCGTGCCAGATACCAAAACACAGGGGATGCAGCTCGGGGAATGTTGGGGGGCTCAAGTTAGGAACCTTGACTTTAACGACACATTCGCAAAACTTTCGCGGATCGGGCTGCGCAAGGCTCGTGCAATGTGCAGTTTGTGAGCTAACTGGGGGAAAGACAATACGCACTGTCGGGGCTCTTCCGCAAGTAAAACGTGCAGTGTAGTGGCCGTTGAACGAAGCCGCGACATGCTGCGACAGTGACGTTTACAAGCCACTCCAAACCCAAAAGCATGCAGCGCCGCTCAAGTCCCACATGTCTGTGTCACCAAACACAAGGGTGGCTCACTATGCCAGTGCTCGGTGCTCCATATTGCTCTACAGATTCCACAGTCCACCACGTTCGGCCTGACAAGGTGGAGCCCCAACTTAATCCGATGTGTTTCACTTCAAGGTTTGTGCAGCCACAAGGAAACCCAATTGTGCAAGGTGATAACGTTAGATGCGACTGCGACTCAGACATTATGCAATCCAGTACCCTACAGCACATCTGGCACCCAAAAATGGTGCATCACTGCATGGGGACGGTTTCACAGGAAAGGACATCACCTCTCAGAAACGCAGACCAACGCATCAAAAATCACCGTGGACGCAATATACGCTTTTCCTTCAAAGGCTGTACTGTACTAGACCCCAAGTACCGAATTCTCCTGTGTGAGCACTTACTTTGGTACTGTTGCAGACTTGGAAGCTGCCTTGCTTCAGGGCGTGTTCGACAAACTTCTACAGCCTGACCGTTGTGCGCTTGGGACACAGCAATCGTGCTCATCACCAAGACGCGCCATTTCCCTGGTAAAGCATTTATATGAATTAAACTGAACACATGTGATGCACTGTATGCAAGTACATATATAATATAGACATATATACAGTCATATATTTATCATAATGATTCATAATGAGCACACTGGCACAAAATAGAAACCTACTACTGTGTGTTTAGGTCATGTTAGTGGGGCGCAAGCATCAATTCCGGCGTTGGTCCGATAGGCATTAGTGCAGGGACACTCTATCACCTATAGTACATGCCCTGATTTTGGCAAGTGCTGGTCTCTACCTTACCTAATTTTGGTTCTTGGGCCAATCGTGTAGTCTAGTGACTAGCAGAGTTTGACTGAAGTTGATGCTACCAGTAGAAGGTTCTCTCTTACCAAGCACCGTTTGGTTTGGTGCGCTTTGAATGTTGTCATAGGTCACAGTTCAGCTCGATCCTCACCTGCACCAATGTCCACGACAGTGCCATTGCTCTTGCCACGGGCCAAAGTAGCCAAAAGGGCGCTACTGAGAGTTGATACCTTCGCCAAGGGAGCCCTACAAACAGGTCTGCACGCAAAGTGTGCTTCCTAGATCAAGAACTCAAGTTTCGACAATGCCAAAGCATCACCAAGGAAGTTTTTTACACACTCAGGAGAGGTTTCCTTGAAGATAATCCCTACCTCTCTTAATTCTCCGCGAGAACATGATGGTTTCACGGTTTCACCTTCCATGTTTCTATTGTTTCGTGCCTTGGCACCTGCAGCCCGCCTCCGGTGCTTCCAGGGCCTCAAAGCTTAGCTCTGCCAGCAAACACCGCAGCCTGGTCTTTTCTGCGGAGGTCGCCGGCTCGGAGAGCAGCAAGGGACGCCTTTCGCACCGAAACAAACGGGGGCACATTGTGGACTGATTGATTGCTTTTCGCTGTCGTTTTTTTCCTGCTTCTCTATATACATACCGTTATTTATGGAAAGGTAGGGTAAAAAGATGTATATCATAAAGAAAACTTAACCGTACCATAATTACAAAATATCATAAGGTAAGCAGGAAGCAGTACACATGTTTGATAACATCTGTATGCAGAAGGGCTCAGGTTCAAGAAAAGTCTTCCACCCGAGGGTGGGAGAAGTTCCCTTCAAGAATCCTGTGGGTCAAAACATGTCAAAACAGTTCTTTTTTGTTTAGGGGATGTAAACATTGTGCTAGCAATAGGCAAGGCCCATGTGTTCTTGAAGCAAAGTCTTTGTTCAAGCACGGAGTTTTCCAAAGTCTGTAATGAATCAAGATTCAAATGCATCTCCGCTGAATTAAAGTAGCTGTTTTGTGCTGAATCTGAATGAAACAGAAAGCCTGTGCATTGCAAATGAAATTCAATCAAGCGTGTGAGCATCATTCTCATGATTTCAAGCAAGGAACATGGAAGGAAAACTGTGAGAAACTGTCTGATTACACACTGGAAGGCAGCACGGCCACATATTATATAGTTCTCTTGATGGCAGAGATTGACAAAAATTTGTGCAAATAACCACCTGCAACCATCTTGCGCAGAAAGCTTCCGAAAGACTGCCTGCAACTATGATTCTGGGGCACATGAGGGCGCATGTTCACAACAAATAAACACTGGGTTACAATTGGTCGTTTGGGCACCGAGGCTTTGGTTGGCGTCCACCTTCCGAACAACATGACATGATCTACACAAATTCTACAGTAGGCAAACACTGTAACAAGACCGCCGTTCAAACCAAAATGATGCTTTGACAGCAAAAGAAAAACATACAGGCAAAAACGGAACTCGAAGGAATCCTACACAGCTAGATTCCCTATAACATTGATTCCCGTGCTTAACTGTATAAAAGGTGCTGGACACATGCTTTAATAGGTACACCAAACAAATTACTTTACTTCGAGTGATCCCCACCATGACATTTCAATCATTCGTCTTGATGCCATAGTGAGGAGCATGTTGCCATAGTCGTTAGTATTGTAGTTCTCGATGTTGCTTGTGGGTCCTCGGGGTTGTGTGCTGTGGTTGTGTGCTGTGTTGTGGTTGTGTGGTTGTCTGTTTGTGGTTGTGTGTTTGTGGTTGTGGTAGTGGTTGTGATTGTGTGTTTGTAGTTGTGGTTGTGGTTGCGGTTGTGTCTTTGTGATTGTGTGTTTGTAGTTGTGGTTGTGGTTGTG